AGATGGGGGTCTCGCTCTTGCTCAGGCTGGTCTCAAACTCCTGAGCTCAAGCGATCCTCCCGCCTCGGCCTCCCCGAGTGTTAGGATTACAGGCGTGAGCCACCGCGCCCGGCCCCAGGGCTACTCTTAAAAATGAAATAAAACACAAAGATCAAACTGTTCGTGAAAATAATAGCATGCGATTTAAACAAAAAAAACCTATCTTATGTGAATTAAGATACATGTTAATGCATTCTTAAGCTCCTGAACTTTTCAAATTAAGTTTCACAGAGTGATTCGAAATCTAAATTATCCCAATTCAGGCCAGCGCGGAGGCTCACGCCTGTAATCCTAGCACTACACTGGGAAGATCGAGGCGGGAAGATCATTTTGAGCTCAGGACTTTAAGATCAGCCTGAGCAAGAGCGAGACCCTGTCTCTACCAAAAAAACAGAAAGAAATTAGCTGGACAACTAAAAATATATAGAAAAATTAGCCGAGCATGGTGGTGCATGCCTGTAGTCCCAGCTACTTGGGAGGCTGAGGCAGTAAGATTGCTTGAGCCCAGGAGTTTGAGGTTGCTGTGAGCTGACTCTATAGCACTCTAGCCAGGGCAACAGAATGAGACTCTGTCAATCAATCAATCAATCAATCAATCAAAGAAAATAAATTATCCCAATTCAGAGAATGAAAAAATTCTTTAATATAAACTCTAAATAGGTGTTTATTTAAATGTAGCAAGGGACAGAAGAGAGAAGAGGAAAAAAAGGCCAGTCAAATGAAAAAGTCACAGATAACTAAGTGCCCAAGTTGGGATCCTATTTATGAATGGAGAACAAAATTACACACACTTCCTTAGAAGCAGCAGCTGAGTCCGCTCTTTTTATAAAAGAAAGACGAGAAAATTTGTTAATATTAGTATTTTCTCAAGTGGTATTATAGAAGGTACTTTTAGGTACCAGTCTTTGATATTATGTCTTTAACATTATTCCAAAATTTTCTAAAGCTTTCTTCATTAACAAGAAGAGAGCAAGCCACAGGCTCAAGACATACAGCAGCTAATGGGAATTAAAAAGTATATTTTAGTATTATTGTTTCCAGTATATTTATTTATGGGGTTAATCACTATTATGACAACTAATGCTGGCTTCCAATTAATGTTCTCTTTAAAATACATTTAAGTAAAACAGTAGTTGATTTAAATAAAAATATTAAATAAATGATGACATAGGCCAGGCGTGGTGGCTCACACCTGTAATTCTAGCACTTTGGGAGGCTGAGGAGGGAGGATTGCTCAAGGGGAGGAGTTTGAGACCAGCCTGAACAAGAGCGAGACCTCGTCATCTCTACAGAAAATGGAAAAAAATTAGCTACTTGGGAGGCTGAGGCAGAAGGATCGCTTGAACCCAGGAGTCTGAGGTTGCAGTGAGCTATGGAGCTATGATGACGCCACAGCATTCTAGCCTGGGTGACAAAGCAAGACCCTGTCTCCAAAAAAAAAAAAAAAAGACAATGGTACAGATGGGACTCATAGCAAAATATGTCCTGAATAACTGAGAAACAATGGAACTACACACACAAAAAAAACCCTAATTATAGCTTCATGATAGAATTAAGAGTAAAAAGGTAAGAATCCATATGGTTTAGAAGACATGATCTGTTAAAATAAGACAAATACAAACCTTAAGGTTCAGTAGGAAATCAAAGCAGCTTTACCAACAATGACCTCGCTTCCAAAACCATATAATAAACTGATGTTTTACAGGCTTATTTATGAGAAACAGAAGACAAATAAATTTAATACTATGATTCACTTTTCTTTTCAACAGAATTTCAACTTACAACCTAACTCCCATTCACTTTTTACCTAAAGGATGGGCAGAGATTTGGATTATGTCACTAAAGGCAAAAATTAGTAGGAAAAATAATAATAACCAAGACAGAATTGATGTTGGGTATTTATTTCCCCTCAAATCCTGCAAAGTCTCTCTCTTCCACATTAATTTCTCTTTGAGTGGACTAAAAGAACCACTTACTTTAGCTAGCTGGATTTGGATACAAAAATTACAATAGTGTAGCATATTCCTGTTTCAAATTCACTTAACTTACTAAGCCAACAAGAGAAATATTTTAACTAAAAACCTGATACATATAAAATATTAGAGTCCTAAACAAATATGTGTTCTTATTTCTACTTCAATCAGTTCATGTATAATAATTAAATAGGTACCAATTCATATGTAACCTTTACTGTACAAGAGAGGCTAGAATAGCAGGAGTGTATTTTAATCTTCAGCAAGACAGAGGAAAAAGCCCCCAGTTTGGCTATAGCACAGGAAGCCCCCTCATCTCTCTTTTTTAATTAAAAAGTATCACCCCACCCCACCTCGAAAAGAGCTAGGGGTGCACCTCAGAGACGTGCACCCCTAGCTCTTAGCACATAGCAGATTGCACTTCCTCCCATGCCCACCTTAATGGCTGCTCTAATGGCTCATAGATCCAAACCCATCTGCATTATTTCACTATCCTTCAGCCAGCACGTCATTCTAATGTTTTCTGAGTGTTTTTAGTATCCCCTGAGGCAATCTCCAGCCCCACTAAACCATCATTCAAGGCTGTTCATGTTACCTCTCGAGGTATTAGGTATTGTTTTTATTAACGTCCTGGTTACAAAATTGCATAGATTTTCATGATTTGTCCTAATCTTGTATAAATCATGAGCTCTATATTGTTAGTGTTCACTTTTGCAGAATACAAAGATTTTCAGGAATACACGTATCATGTTACAGCAGAAACACCTACACTGTTATGCTGATACATCTATAATCTTAATACAACCACAAAGATATATAAATACCTGTACACTAAAGCAGCTAGTAACATCTAGGCCTTACCTGGTCTCTGGCTCACTGGTGGACTCCCATTAATTCCTGAGAGTATAATAGGAACAGAACCCAGAGATGAAGTTGGTGTGGTCACCATGGAGGAAGATGCAGCTGTGGTCACCATGACTATGGAAGTGGAGGCAGTGGAAGCAACAGGAAGAGTTATGGTTGGAGATGCTACCAAAGACTTAGGAAAAGCAACTGAAGCCACAGGGGTAGTTATCCCAGTGGTTTTTGTAAGGTTCACAGTGGCTGTAGACTGGGTAGATGTTACAGGGATGCTGGTATTAGTTTCAGAGACCTCAACAACCCCTGAAGTGGTGGCACCAGAAGAATAAGTAGTTTCTTTAGTTTCCACGTCAGAAATAGCAGTCATAGGTGTCACAGCAGTAACATTTTCTAAAAATACTTGAGGGGTGGTAGTGACAGCAGCAGTCACAGGGCTGCACACCTGAACTGCCTCAGAAGAAACCACAGGTGTGACGACCATTACTGGAGAAGGTCTGATACTGAACTTCTGTGGCCCTGTCAGGGGTTGGGGTGTGCTAACTCCAGGTATCTTCTGCTGCAAGGCTCCAACTTTACTCATCACAAACTGTGTGAACACACCACCAGGAGAGGGTCGAGCCGCTGCAAATAAAAATTTGCAGGTCAAAAATCTTCAGTTCTCATATTAAATATCTTATCCTCTTAGTGACTGTGCTTATCAACATTTATTGTGCACCACTGGGGGTCAATTTCTTACAGGTACTACCTACCTGTATTATCCGTGTCAATTTTCATCCACAGAAATCAAACACTTCCCTCAACCCAAAACAATCTCTTACAATTCTAACAAGAAAGGGATTAAAACTGGGTGTTCCTAACAAAATTCTTTTGACTATGCAATTTATTCAAACTGTCAAGACATTAAAAAGACAATACAGCAGCAAATGACTTCATCACCTAAAACAGATCAAAGAAAGTAAGAAGGATAGGATTTTTCTCTCCTGATTCTGATTTTAAAACTTGTTTCCTCCATTTCATTCCTCCTGTCCAATACCTCTACCTCTTTATGGCTGACTTACTATGAGACAGTCAAGTATTGCATATTCCTAAAAAACATAAAGATATTTTTCAAAGGAGAGCAGGATAAGACTGGTTTTAAAAAAAATCACAATTAAAGCTACTTTTAAAAAGTAAAACAGGTTCTTTTTAAGACATACAATGGCTATCCTCTATCTTCACACAACTCTAGCTTCAGCAAGAGATTTCAATTTCCTCTTAGAGGAATAAGAATACACAATTGACACTTTTATTTAGCATTTCTAAATAGATTTGAAACAAGAAGAAGAATTCAATAAACCAACTATAGATACTCTCAATGCTAAAACACAAATACTTCAAGAAGGTAATTTATTACAGACTCTAGCACTGACGTGTTAAGCAAGAGGTTTTTATTCACAGAACAAGGATGGATGGAATAAAGCAATGTTTCTAAAATTATGTTTACAAAAGCCTTCTACTTTAAGCCTATACTGACCTACCTCACTAGCTTGTGCTAGCTCCTTGGTTTCATAAGTTCAAAGAATATACATATGATTGGTGCCAAAAATACGAGTTTTCATAGGAAAAATGGTAAAATAGAAAAAATATTTTTAAGTGTCTTCCCTTTTTACAAACAAAATTAAAATCCTAAGTCTTTTCTGTATTAATAAGACCAGTCTAAAGGTCTTGAAAATAAAACTGTAAAACTATTGAATTCATCTAGTTCAATTTATCTAGTATTGTAAGTCATCAGAAAAGTTATAAAAAAATAAAAAATAAAATAAATTCAGGCAAGACAGACAAGAATAATGCCAAATTCTATACCCCTCTAATTTTTACTACCTCCATACCTGTACCCACTGGCCCAGCAGCAAGTCACAGGCCTTTCCAAATCGTATGTACACTCCAACTTACCAATTGGCCTTTTTGCCGGAACAAACGCCTTCAGATTCTTCCCAGGACGATTTGTTGTAGTGCCGGAGGAGGATGCCATTTTGGAATTGGATGTTGAAGGCAACAGGGTACGTGGTTTCCTGGATGCAGCCACCTTGGCATTGGATGCTACCTTGGAGATGACAGTACTGAGGGTTGAGAGGTCCAGGACTGAGGGTCGCAACCTGCCTGTGATATAAGCAGCTAGCCTATTGGCTGGATGCAATGCCCCCATCTGTCCCAATAGCAACTTAGCCTGCGGGTAACTCTTACCATTAACCTGAAACAAGTGGCAAAGAGAAATTCTGTAAAGATAAAATTCTCTTGCTAACTCCTCTCCCTTGACAGGGGTTTCATTTTTACAAAGTTTTATAAATCTATTTTTCAGATTTAAAAACGGGGAAAAAAGTGGACTTTTTCCATTCAGGATAATCTGAGTAATCAGGAGGTTTAAAAAAAAAAAAAAAAAAAAAAGCTGTCACCTGATATTCTGAACTAATCTTATCTTCTTCATTTTGTAGTTTGGAAACAGAGAATCTAAGAAATTCATCATTTCTAAATCCTTGATATGTAAAAGATTCAATCAAATCTAAACAATTGGAATCATCCAATTGTTTTACTTGTCTATAAGCACTTCTGGTTAAAATATTAACAATCATCAGCAAAAATGAATCACCGTGTTCCACAAAAACTCTGATAAGACCACAGAGGCATAATGAAGCCCTCACACAAGGGTCCTTTCAAGCATCCTTCATATTTGAAAGATATATGGTGAATCTGCTTAAAGTTATAAGAAAACCATTGTTACACTAACCTAAGCCATAAAGTTACCTCCATTTTTGGTTTTCAAAAGGCTCAACTTTGAAGATACTATCTTCATCTCTTGGACAAAACATGGTCTCAAATTAAATGCTCATAGATAACTCACTCAAATTCTAGATATAGTAATTAAACTGTCGGAAGAAAGTGAACCAACAAATGAGGTGAAGATTCTCTCTGCTGAATTGGTTACACTGCCTATCTTGGGTAGTGGCATAGTTTTCTTATTAAAAAAACCTCCCAAGTTTCTTACCCATGTTCCCTAGGTCATATTGCTGATTGACTCTAGAGAAGTAACCTTTTCTGTGTCTCCTTTTCATCATTTAAAAGTGGGAGGAGGAGATGGAGTGAGGAGGAGTCTACTCTCTAAATTGGCGAGGAAAATAGCTACAGCAAGCCACTCCATCTTCAAAGACACAAAACAAAATTACTCTTTGCTACTTTGCTACTTAAGTAAATTGTGATTATTCCTAGGGAGATCAGGAATATGTCTGTCTTGAGTTTTGTATAAGGAATGTGATCTTTCCACCCGAAAGTAAAACTTTTACTATAGTTTTTTAGGATATATGAAAACTAGGTCAGATACCCCTATCTGCTCCCTTGGGCCTGCTTTGAAGACTACTCATCAGCTTCCCCAAAGTCTACAGTACCGCTGCCTGACTGCTTATGCCATTATATTCTATGGTGGCTTTGTTAGTCCTAGGCAGAAGAGAACACAAAGTTTCTGTGCTTGTATTTTAGAGAGTCTGATCTCACCAGAAATGATCTTAGGCAAGTATCTGCTTTCAAAGTATCAATCAATAAATGAGATAAAGAGAAAACACTGTTCTCCCCATCATTTAGAGTTTAAGAAATACCAACAGAAGCAGTTACATAGTACCAGCGAGAGTGAACTGCAATAAAAAGTTTTTAATTAAGTAGATCAGTCATATTCCCTTAGTGACTTACAAACTTAGTCAATCTAGTAAGAGTCAAGTAATCTTGTCAATAACATCAGACACTTCCACACATTTGCCACTCTGATATAAAAGTGCACTTAATGTCACTGAGCAAGTGGAGAGAATCTTCTTGACTATATGACTTACATTTTCATTCAAAACTTCTCTTCAAATTTTTTAGATGCCAGTGTAATTTTACTAATATAATCTGCCTAAATTATTAAACAGCAAGGATAGAGATATTTGTCCTATACAATGATTACACTGGCAAAAACCATTTGAATCAAAAAAAAAAAATTAAGTAAACATGGATCAATTTTTTAAACTCTTATGTATCTGAATAACATCTTACTAAATTAAAAATTTTCCCCAAGTTTCCAAACATATACTGCCTAAAGTCCATTTCATCTTCCCCTTACTCCTAACATTCTATACAAGGTTTTGTTTTGAAAGCTGTCTGCCAATAATAAATTCCAAGAACTAGACTGAATCTGACTATCCTTGCTTAGTTGTCAAAGTATCACTAAAGCCCAGGTAATAAAGTTTAAAAAGAACAACTTTCTGGGAAGACTAGAAAGAAATTATAAGCTAATACAAGGCTCTACATTTCTGTTTGTAAATGTGCCAAAAATTCATTCTAGTTATGCATCTAACCTAGGCCTATTACAAAAATATAATGATGTTATCACCCAGTTCCCAGGAAATGTAAAGATAAATGATGTAAGGCCCATAAAGGGCTCAGAAAAATCACAATGTTACCTAAATATAAAAAGGTGCTATACCCAGATTAAAGATAATTCTCACCTGGATAAGCCCAGATGTACTTGAACTGGGTTTACGTTTATAGGCCACAAGCTTCCCTGCAGGAGAAAGCCCTGCATAAAAAGGCAGACCTTTGCCTCCATGTAATCTCTCCCTCACTGAATCCAGGGCATCTGTCTGCACAGGAGAGATATCATCCATTTTCCCAGGGGACAATGGACCATCAGGAGTCTCTGATCCAGATTTCTCAGCCATATCATCTTGGTCTTGACATGATGGCATAGAGATTTTCACACGAGAAGAATAAACAGGAGGGTTCTTCTCACCCCGGCTCTTTCGCTGAGAAGCCAACTCAATGATGAAGCTGCCCACCTTAAGTGATTGTGGCATGTTGCTATTGATGTGCTGGGATAAGATGCTCAAAATCTTGTTTCGATCCTCCTCCCAGTTGCAGTCTGAGATGATCTCTATCAGTTTAGTGGGACCACCAGGTGACCTCTGATGCATATAAGAGGTAGAAGAGGATTCCCCTTCATTGCAGGAAGACTTCCAGCTCTTTTCTGCTTTTAAAAAAAAAAAAAGTGAAAGATATTTTTGCATCACAGCATTTCGTACTGAACTTTGAAAGAAATTCAACAGTTTCTCATTATCCAATTCCCATGTACTTTCAGTGGTAACCTAATATATATGTTTAAAATTCACAATTTGGGAGTTTTCCAAGAAGAAAGATCCCAGGTCATTATCCTACTGACTGGGCTCTAATAAATAGGGAGTCCCCTTAACAGCTCTCTAAAAAGCTAAGAGCTTGCAAACAAAGCATGACCTAAAACCAGTGCTAAGCTTAACTGGTATAGGTTACTATTCTGCCATCCATACAGGCAAAACAAAGATACTTTCAAGATGCTTTGAAACATCTAAAGGTTAGAGTCAATCCTAAAGAACAAGGGAGACAGTGTTCTGATTTTTTTTTAAGTATACTCTACCTCTAGTTTCTAATGCAAGGACTTCTGAATTACCTCTGTGCCTCTAGATGTAACTGTTCCATTCCTACATTGTGCGCAGATCACTCAACTATCCAATGTATTTCAATCCATGGCAACATGCTGACTAGATACATATTTCACTAGATACCTAGATTTCTACAGCAGAGCTTCCTAACCAATGTGCTACAATTACAGGTATATCAAGGATACAGGCCCCCATAGCCCTCTCAGAGTGCTCTTGCTCTCAGGCAGGTTCCCTTTACCCCAGCAGCTTCCTTAACTTAACCTCAATGTGCTATACAAACATTATCTTTTTTATGTGCATACCATGACATTTTTAAAAAGTTAGGAAGAATTCCTATTTAAGTGTCAGAAGTCTTAAGACACATAACCAAAAACGAATAGGTAGTTCCTTGGTCACTACCTCTCATCATAATTCTTCCAGTAGCCTCTGCTAGATAAATCAATGATATTCCATCCTTTCAACCTCTGCATTTCCTCAATGGTGGCAGCTATGGAGGACATCAGGGAAAATTTCAATAGCTAATGATGCCAATATTGATGGGGTTTGGAAAGAAGTTAAAACAAAAATTCACTGACTTCATCCTAAATGTCTCTCACAATAACATAGCTTATCAACATAAATGAATTTTCTTTTATTTTTGAAAGCAAGAGTGTTAAACAGACCAAATAATGGGAAAAAACTTTACTTACTATTTCTGTTTTTGGCAAAAGCTAGAAACAGGGAGGATAAACATATTCTGAATTGGTGGTGTTTCTCCCATTATAATCCAGATCTATATATTATAATTACTATCAAACGGTAAGATCTAGTTTTAATTCTGACCTTGTGATTTATCAGAATCATCCTCCAAGTCACAGGTGAGTTGTCTTAAGGGCTGTTGTTCAGAATCAGGTTCCTGAAGAAGGGAATAATATAGAAATAATTCAATCCAACATATATTTAACATTGACAGAAACCAGGACACAAGCATTAAATCTCTCACAGAAGCTTAAATCAGTAGAATAATTAAAATGTCAACAGCTTCACTTCTGCACAAATTATTACTATCGTATAAAATCCCAAGAGGCTGAGGCAGGAGGATCACTAGAGCCCAGGAGTTCGAGGCTGCAGTGAGCTATGATCATGCCACTGCACTCGCAAAAGCAAGTAGTCTTGCCCTCAGATGTCCTTGACAGTGACTGAGTCATCAAAAAAATAGTTAACATTGTATTTTATAGTGTATTCTAGTAAAGGAAAAATACTGTTTAATGGGACAGGCTTCAGTTTAGAAAATTCATGAATATGGAAAGATGTCCTAATAATTATAGATAAAAAAATTTAATTAAAACCAGAAATGCTTTAAGTTTCTAAAAAAAATTACTCCAGGGTTGGAAAGAATAATACTTTTAATAGCCCTAAGAAACAGATCACTAGAATAAGGTACACAGAGAAATAAACTGATATGCATTTCATGTAAGCCTTCTCTGCCCTACAAGAAGTAGGGCAAATTCATTATTCAGATAGTAAATAAATTCTAATTATTCTGATAGTAATGCAAATTCTAATACCAACAACGGAAACTGGAAGTTAAAAAGAAATTATGCAACGAGTAATTCACCTTTACAGTACAGTTCTCAGGACTAGAATGACATGAGCTCTGCTGCTGAAATGATGGAGATGGGGAGGGGGAGGGGGAGGGTTGTCTCTGTTCCTCTTTTTTTCGTTCATATACTCGAACTCGGGCACAAGTCATCATACTTTCAAAGTACAAGTAGACCGGATCTTTGTCCTCTTCCCGAATCTGTAAGTTTCATACAATAAAACATTCCATACAATGGGGAAAAAAGTCTCCTAGACTCCAAAAGAAAAAGGATGCTCAATCTTTATTTCTATTACAACAGTTGAAATTTTGAAATGCAAACTTTAAAATCAAATAGGACAAGTACAGTTCATATGTGCTGAATCTTGGGAAACTCGGAAAGGATCTGGTTCTCTATTAGGAAATTTCAGATCACAGCAGAGCAGTGCATCTCAAATTATCTGTGGTAAAGAATGCATTTGTTAATTACCAGTCCATCACAGACTGGTACTTTAATAAATACAACAAAATAAATTACTAAAAAAATAAAAGACATGTAAAACATAAGCCCAAGTATTTTAGTATAATAGATTCTCTCTAACCAACCCACTGTAAAAGGTCCTAAATATATACTCTTACTTTCTATACAGTTGACCCTTGAACAACACAAGGTTTGAATTGCATGGGTCCACTTATACGCGAATTTTCTTCTGCCACCTATGAGACAGTAAGACCAACTTCCTCCTCAACATGAAGACAATGAGGACGAAGACCTTTATGGTGATCCACTTCCACTTAATGAAGAGTAAATGTATTTTCTCTTCCTGATTTTCTTAGGAACATTTTCTGTTCTCTACCTTACTTACTGTAGATAGTAAAGATATAAATTATGTGTTACTCAACTAACTGTTATCAGTAAGACTTCCAGTCAACAGTAGGCTACTAGTAGTTAAGTTTTGGGGGAGTCAAAAGTTTTATGTGGATTTTCAACTGCATGAGGTGATGATCAGCCCCCTAACCCCCATGTTGTAGAAGAGTCAACTAATATCATCACAGACCAGTAACAAAATGGTTTTAGACTATCACTGCTACAGAGACCACATCTAGTAGCACTGTACTAGAGGATTTTCTTCAATTTAAATGGACTGGGAAGACTGAAATGGATTTGATAATCAGAATTGCTTAAGCTATTAATACAACAAAAGAATCAGCTCTTACTTTTACCTACCAGTCTTCACATAGTCACATATCAACTGTTATAACTGTTTAAGATTTTAAATCTTAAACTTTATTGCTATTATATTATCATATACAAAACATGTTTTTAAGAGCTTTTTCTTAATGTTATTCTGTTACTAATACACACTACATACATATCTCAATTACTCCATATTCTATACTAAGGAAATAACAGTAACTTTAAAAGACCTTTTGCAAGTAATATTAAAAAAACCCCATATTTCTATGATCTTCTTTAAGAGAGATTTGGCTATCTTTAAAAATAACTACTACTCACCTCTACTTTTAAGACATTTTAAAAGTGCCAGCAACTAACCTGATTAAACTAGAAAGAAAGATGTCTTACAGACATACTACCTGAAAGCAAGATGATTCACAGAATAGCACCCAAAAATCTGGTTGAAATGCATCATCTTTACAAACGACTTGTAACTTGCAATAAAAGATGAAACTCCAAGCTTACCGCAGGATTGGATTTGGGAGTATATGCTCGTGCAGGTTTAATTCCAGTGAGCAGTTTGCCCTTCACAGTAGTAGATAAAACTTCTGGCTGAGGCAACAACAATGGTTTGATAGGCTCAATGACAGAAGGAGTTGGGATATAAACTGGCTCTGGATCTACTTCACCTTCTACTTTTACCCATAACGGGTAATGTCGTACAGGCTGTTCAGGCTCTGCTTCACATATAGCTTAACAAAAAAGGAGGATAAGATTTAGCAATAAAGCTCAACACTGAGGCACTGCCAAAACAAAATACGCTCCCTCATAAAAGGAAATAACTCGTTAAAACAATCAAACAGATGCCCCCTAAAAAAAGTTTAGTTGCCCTCATGTGCTTAACTTACTCATCCAATAACCAAATATTCACTGAATACCTACTATCAACTAGATACTGTTTTAGGCACTAGAGTGAATACAGCTATGAATAAAACAAAGTTTTTCCCTTCAGAATTTAAAATCCAGTAGGAGAAAAACTAATAAATATGTAATATCAAGTAACAGTAAGCCATGTAGAAAAACATAGCAGGGTGACGGATGAAGAGTTAAAAGGGGAAGGTATTATATTAAATGTTTAGCACGATCAGAGAAGACCTTACTTAATGAAAAGATAATCATTTTTAACCACACTTTATAAATAATAACAAATAGTTATTGAATCTTACTATTCAATAGTTTTAAGTACTTAATATGTTTTAACTCCAACAGTCCATTAGATAGATATCATTCCCATTTTACAGAAGCTGAGGTTCATCCCACCAGTAAGAGACAGAACCAGATTCAAACCCAGCCAATTTAGCTCAAGAGACGAAGCTGTCATTGTTGCATTCTAAGGACAAATTGTAATCAAAAATGGCCAGGCACAGTGGCTCACACCTGTAATCCTAGCACTCTGGGAGGCCGAGGTGGGCAGATTGTTTGAGCTCAGGAGTTCGAGACCAGCCTGAGCAAGAGCGAGACCCCTGTCTCTACTAAAAAATATAGAAAGAAATTAGCTGGACAACTAAAAACTATATAGAAAAAATTAGCCGGGCATGGTGGCGCATGCCTGTAGTCCCAGCCACTCGGGAGGCTGTGGCAGAAGGATTGCTTGAGCCCAGGAGTTTGAGGTTGCTGTGAGCTAGGCTGACGCCACGGCACTCTAGCCCGGGTAACACAGTGAGACTCTGTCTCAAAAAAAAAAAAAAATATGCTGGAACATGGTAAGTGCTTAAGAGAAAAAACAAAGCAGGAAGGAAAATAAGAAGCATGTGTAGTAAATGTGTATGAGTATGCATTCTGAGGTGAGGGTTGCAATTTTTAAAAGAGTAGCCAGGGATGCTCTCACAATAAAGGTGGTACTTAGAGGCTCTACTACACATTTTTGCAAAAATTTCATTGTACAATGTTGCTAATTATTTTATACACACATTAATTCTATAAAAATAAAAGTGTCTTGGGGGTAAGAACTCTGACTTTTTTCAGTCATCTTTCAAAAAAATTTCTAAGTCCATAAACTAAGCACTGTACTAAGTAAAGATTCCTTTCATCTTTTTCTTTTGAAATCACATCTATAAAATACAAAGTATAGTATTTCAGGGAAAATACTGCTTAAGATGTCAAGAATGACTATTCACATTTCTTTTAATCCCTCAAAAAGAATCAAGAACGCTAAAGTTTCAACTGTGAATAATGGGAAATGGTGGTTCTAATAAATAAGGGCTTAGGCTGATTGAGAAGGGTAGAGTTCAGTTCTGTTTAATATATGTTTAAGACTGAAATGATAGTAACATAATAAAATAGGACAGTGAATTAAAATCAGGACTGTCGATGGCAGAGACTACAGTTGAAGCCATGAAAATGGACAGACTCCCTACAAGGGCAAAAGCAACCAGACCAAACCCACACACTCCATCAGCCTGCTGCCCATTTGATTCCTTTATACAGCCTGGGATCCAAGACAGAACACTTCTCTATTCCACTCCTACTCTTTCCCTGAAACTAAGAAAAAAAGGAACAAGTAAAGGCAGGAAAACACAGAATTAAAGGGAGAACCAGAGTAGCACATATTCCTTGACAGGAGCCAAGAATAGAAATCAGTTTCAGAAAGAAATAGGGGTCGGGTGCTATGGCTCACACCTGTAATCGTAGCACTCTGGGAGGCCAAGGCGGGAGGACTGCTTGAGGTCAGGAGTTCAAGATCAGCCTGAGCAAGAACGAGACATTCTGTCTCTACAAAAAATAGAAAAATTAGTTGGGCATGGTGGTTCGCACCAGTAGTCCAAGCTACTCAGGAGGCTTAGGCAAAAGGATCACTTGAGCCCAGAGTGTCAGGTTGCAGTGAGCTATCATGACGTCATTGCACTCTACACTGGGCAACAGAGTAAGACCCTGTCTCCAAATGAAAACAGTCTCTTCTTATTTCTATTCAAATGCCTTCTAATATATATTATTAATACCTTTCCCAAGACTCCTAGCATTATTATTCCATCTTCTGGGCTCTCAATAAGCCTTTTGGTCATGACACTTAAAACATTACAGGACTTTAGGTACATGTGCCATTTAATAAATAATAAATGTGTCTTTTCACCACATACCTATTTCAGCAAATTGACAGTAACCTCTTAGAGAGATGGACTTTGGTTTTTTTTTTTTTTTTTTTTTTTTGAGACAGAGTCTTGTTCTGTTGCCTGGGCTAGAGTGCCGTGGCGTCAGCCTAGCTCACAGCAACCTCAAACTCCTGGGCTCAAGCGATCCTTCTGCCTCAGCCTCCCAAGTAGCTGGGACTACAGGCATGTGCCACCATGCCCGGCTAATTTCTAATTTATATATATATATTTTTAGTTGTCCAGATCATCTCTTTCTATTTTTTAGTAGAGATGGGGTCTCGCTCTTGCTCAGGCTGATCTCGAACTCCTGAGCTTGAGCGATCTACCCACCTCGGCCTCCCAGAGTGCTAGGTGGACTTTGTTTTAACTGTCTATATTCTACCTCCTCTCACTCCTAGAAGTGTCCATAGTGGTTGCACCATAAATGAATCTAGTAGAATCTCACTGTGGATTTATTTCCCATTTCCCCGATTATGAATGAGATATTCAAAATCCCTCTTTATGAAGTACTGTCCATTTTCCTACATGACTGTTTATTATTAATCTGTAGACACATTTATATATCTGGATACAGATTCTTAGTTAGGGATTGCAAATATTTCCTCATATTGTAGCTGACATTTTCATTGACTTACTGTCTTAAAGATCTGAATTTCTTTTTTTTTTTTTTCCCCCCAGAGATAGGGTCTTGCTCTGTCACCCAGACTGGAGTGCAATGGTGTGATCACAGCTTACTGTAACCTCCAACTCCTGGGCTGAAGTGATCCTCCCACCTCAGCCTCCTGTATAGCTGGGTTTACAGGCATGTACCACCACACCCAGCTGGTTTTAAAATTTTTTTTGTAGAGATGGAGTCTCACTATATCGCCTAGGCTGGTCTCACTCTTGGCCTCAAATGATCCTTCTGCCTCAATCTCCTAAAGTGCTGGGATTATAAGGAGTGAGCCACTGAGCCTGGTATAAATTTCTTTTTTTTTTTTTTGAAACAGAGTTGCTCTGTCACCCAGGGTAGAGCGCGGTAGTGTCATTGTAGCTCACCGCAACCTCAGACTACTGAGCTCAAGCAATCCTCCTACCTCAGCCTCCCAAGTAGCTGGGACTACAGGCATATGCCATGACACCCAGTTAATTTTTTTCTATTTTTTGTAGAGACGGGGTCTCATTCTTGCTCAGGATGGTATGGAACTCCTGACCTCAAGCAATCTTCCCATCTCAGCCTTCCAGAGTACTAGGATTACAGCCGTGAGACACTGTGCCCAGTCTTAAATTTCTTACTTTTTAAGTTACCAAATGCACTGGTCTTTCCCTAAGAATTTTTCTTCTGTCATGTTTCAAGAAAGCTTTTTCCTGTATATATTCTCCTCTATTATCTTCTCAAAGCTGTACTGTTTATTCACAACTGTTTATAATCTTCCCAGATATTACTTCTATGTATGGTGTGAAAAATGAATAAAGTTTCATTTTTTCTCATATGGATGTTCAATGGTCCTACCACCATTTACTGAAAAGATCATCCTTTCCTTATGCTTTTGCCACATTTGTCAAATCAAGTGTCCACATTCATTTCAAACTATTTGCAGCCTCTCTATTCTACTAGCCTATTCATTTTATATTCAAGCCAGATCACCCTGTCTTAAATGTAGTAGTTTTATAATAATTCTTGACATACAACAGATCAAGTCCTCCTACTTCATCATTGTTCTTCAAGATTGCGCTGGTCATTTCTAGTTCCTTTGCATTTCCATATAAATTTTAAATTCTGCTTTTCATGTTTCACATAAAAAGCTGTGAAGATTTTGATTCGGACTGCAATGCAGTTACAGATGAAATTGAGAAGCATCACTTTTCCAATATTCAGTTTGCCTTAATAGTTAAATTTTGTAAATTAAAAAAAGCCCAGACTTCACCACTATGCAATATATCCATATAATTAAAACTGCACATGTACCCCTGAAATCTATAAAAACTGATGTTACTTTCTTAACATGTATGTACAAACATATCTTAATAAAATTCAGATCATACAGTACACACTATTTTATAATTGACTAATTGCTATGTTGGGAAGTTTCTCTGTATCTTTAAATATTCTTCATCATTATTACTGACTACATTGTATTCCTTTGCAGGGATATATAAAAATTTAACCCAAATCATAAGATAAACTTTTTCCCACTTTTTCCACTATTAAACTGTAGGCAAAAAATAGTTCTGTGAAGTAAACTTGTTTTTCCTTTTATAGTTTTATTAAGCTATAATTGACATATGATACTATATATACAATTTGGTTGAGTTCTGACATACATATATACTCCTGTGAAACTCACTACAATTAAGATGGGTAACCATTTACCTCCCAGATTCCTTGTAGCCTTTTGTCTAATCCTCCTCCATCTCCAATCTTCACCTCAACCCTTGTGCCCAGTCAACCACTGATCTATGTATTAGTTTGTATTTAAATTTTTTTACATAAATGCAATAAAAATGTTAACTTTTGGGGGTGGGGAGTCTGGTTGCTTTCACTCAGCATAATTATTCTGAGATTGATCCATGCTGCTGAATTTATCAAATTTGCTTCATTTTATTGCTGAGTAGTATTCCGTCGTTTGAACCTACCCAAAAATTTCTTTGTCCATGCGCCTGTTAATAGACATCTGACTTGTTTCCAATTTTCTTGCTATTACCAATAAAACTAACCACAGAGACTTAAACACCCATGTATAAGTCTCTATGGTGACATATGCTTTTGTTTCACATAAAACTGAAATGACTAGGTTATGTGGCAGGATATTTTGAACATTTTAAGACACTAATAAACTTTCCAAAGTGACTCTACCATTTTACATTTCTACCAGCTGTGAGAGTTCCAATTGTTCTGTACACTCACTAGCATTTGGTATGATCAGCTTCTCCAATTTTTGCCATTTAGTAGCATCTTCTTATGGTTTTTTGTTTGTTTGTTTGTTTGTTTTTTGATTGAGACAGAGTCTCATTCTTTTGCCTGGGCTAGAGTGAGTGCCGTGGCGTCAGCCTAGCTCACAGCAACCTCACACTCCTGGGCTCAAGCGATCCTCCTGCCTCAGCCTCCCGAGTAGCTGGGACTACAGGCATGTGTCACCATGCCCGGCTAATTTTTTCTATATATTTATAGTTGTCCGATTAATTTCTTTGTATTTTTAGTAGAAATGGGGTCTCGCTCTTGCTCAGGCTGGTTTCGAACTCCAGCACTCAAACAATCCGCCCGCCTCGGCCTCCCAGAGTGCTAGGATTACAGGCGTGAGCCACCACACCCGGGCCTCCTTATGGTTTTAATAAGTATTTTGCTAATAATAACTGATGATAAGCCATCTTTTCATGCCCTTAGTTGCTATTTCTGAAGTATTTTCAAATCCTCCATCCATTTTTAAAATTGGGTTATCTTCTTAATGAGTTTTAAGTGTTCTGAAGTTTTAAGAATTCTTCATCTACTGTAGATACAAGTTGTTGGATATATGTTTCACCTACTCTATGGTTTGTCTTTTCATTTTCTTAAGTGTCTTCTGAAGAGCAATTTTTTAAGTTTGAGTAATTCTAATTTATTTTTATATTTATAATTCATTTTTTATGTCCCATCTATGAAATATTTATGAAACATAAGTCACTAGGGATTTTTTCCTATATTTTCTTCTAGAAGTTTTATACTTTCAGCACTCACATTTGATCTATGACATTAACTTTTGAATCTTGAGTTAATTTTTGCATACGGTTGTGAGGTAACAGTCATGGTTTATTCTTCTTTGGCATATTGCTAATCCAATTGTTTCAAAACAACTCACTGAAAGATTATAATTTCCCAAATGAACTGCCTTGGAACTGTGTCAAAAAAGTAAATGGTCATATACACATATGTGTAACAACCTCTAGACTCTCTGTAGACTCTCTGAAACAGAGTCATAATTGTATTTTTATTGACTGATAGTTTTGTCATAACTTTCCTGTACAAACTTTTGCCTTCTTATTGGTCTTAATTTTTGTTATTGATGAAGGTGGCATGTGCCACTTAATCATGAAGATCACCCAGTTTCTTAATGTTATTTCCTAAAATAAATCTAATACCTTCCTGAAGATATTCTTATCAGGATTTTCTAATTTTCTATTTTAAATTAACATTACTTTCTAGTCTTGCTATGTAACTGTCATCCTAAGATTCCCCACCACCGTCTAGGGACAAGTTCACTTTTCTAGTTGATATCTCCTGCTTCATGAATTCCCTTTTCATTTCCTGGAACACAATCTCAAATTCATCAAGACTCTGTAAGAGGTCAACTTTCTGCATCATTACATGTTTCAATATACTGTATCTTTATTTTATAAACATAATTTATAATTTGGTTAGCTAACCTCATCCTGACTTTAGAAACAATTATTAACACACCCAATGTTACTGATATCTCTTTGACATCAAACTGATTTTATATTCTTCCTATACAAAACAGGAAGCATTCAGGAACCTTTAAAAGCATTCAGGGTATCTTCTTTATTTTTAATGTTCTGAAATGTCAGAAGGATGTGGTACAAATCACCTTAAAATTATTACTACCTGGTAGGCCCTTTTTTATCTGAAATTTCATGTCCTTCAGCTCTGTGATATTTTCTTCCATCATTTCTTTATTTTTTTCTCTTTTATCTTCTGTTCTTTCTTCAACTCCCCTAAATCATTTATAACTTTTTTTCTCATTTTCCATCTATCTTTTTGCAAAACATATAAGAGATTTCAACTCTTTTCAGTTTTTATATTTATTAATATTTTTATTTGTCTATTTCCGGTCTCAGCAACATTTTTTCCTCCAAGAACTCTTCCTTATTTTTACCCTTTTTATATAGCAGTTGTTAACAAAAATTATCATTCCTCCTTTCTTCATCCTTTCCCTAACATTACAAGAAAACTGATGGCTCCTAAAGAGGGAATAGCCACGTTTTTTTATAATGAATTATACCAACAAGTAAACCAAAAAATATTTTGATAACTGGCTAACTTCCAGAGTTTAATTCCGGTCAAGGGTAGGGCATAGGGTAAAGACAATAATTTAAAAAGCAAGGAAGCCTAAGAGATATACAGTATTCCTGCTTATAAGTACTTTTGTAACTTACTCTTATTGCTTTGAAATGGCAATGTGTTGTTTTAAGTATGCGAGTAAACTCAGTAAGGAAATAATGGATAGAGCTCGAAGTTCTGTATTATGTTTCACTTTAAACCTTTAAAACCTTATCTATACAAAGATCATTAAGGTATACAAAAATAGTACCTCACTCAAACACTAAAATAGTAAATATAACAGCCTGGCACTGTGTCACAAAACAAGAGAGGTCAGAAAAAGACCCAAGTGTTAGTATATCTTAATTTACATTATAGGTGACATTTTAAACCAGTAGGAAAGTCTGTATTTCTCAGTAAGTGATGGTACAACTGGCTAGCCATGTGGGGGAGAAATGATTCCCTACTACAAATGTCACATCAAATAAATTCCAGAATATATTAACAATTTAATTTTTTTAAGTCTATAAAAGTACCAGAAAAAAATCTAATTAAATATTTTTGTAATCTTAAGGGTAGAGAAAGACTTTCTAAGCAAGACTTCGAAGGTGGAAACTATAAAAGAAAAAGACTGCCAGATTTAACTATCTCTGCTTTTTTCTTTTTGGGGGGAGGAGGGATGGGGTAATGAACAAAATTAAAATACAAATTACAAAATTACAACCTGAAAAAATAAAGCTCTTGCAAAATGTAGGAAAAAAATACAGCCATTTCAATAAAAGTTAGCAAAGAATTCAAAAAGGCAATTTACAGAAAAAAGTTCATGACAAATGCACAATAAACCTATCACTGAAGAAATACAAATTTAAAAGATATCCATTTCTGCCCATTAGTTTGACAATTTTAAAACATTTTAAATGTCCTGTGTGAAAACAGAAAAATTGGTACTATCCAACTATTTGCACGTGTCTAAGTTGGTAGGATTCTACTAACACCTACAAATGCTTAAGTGCACCCACTGTCACAGTAATTCCATTTTTAATAGCCTATCCTAAACATGGATATTCATCACTGTATTGTTTATAATTTTTAAAAAACCCAAAAAGGCTAATGTCTAACCAAAAGTATTATAATAATAGGAAGCCATTAAAACTAACATAATGACATAATGTAGATCTACAACTAATGATATGGAAAGCAGAATATGACCTTATGATAGTAAATGTTTACAGTTTATAATATCACATACACAGTAGTTTCATTTCTGTAAATACATATACATGTATGCACAAATATGTAGTCATAAAAAATCCTGAGAACATACACTGAAATATTAATCATCATCTCTACTGAAATGAGTACAGAGCAAACAACAGGAAATGTAAATAAAAACTGCTAATAAAGTAATATTAATCCCTTGATAAACTATGAAACAAGAAACCCTTTTCAATTATATGGTAAAATCATATTCAACACATTTGACAAAAACACAAAGATATAACAGGAAGGGAAAAAAATCAAGAATGAAATAATATGTAACTTGGGTCTACATCTATATCGTATTTTATCTAAAAGGAAAAATAAGCTTTTTAAAAGAGTACATGATGCTCAGCTCTGTCATGCCCCTATTTTGTTCCCAAATCTCCAACCATGACCAGAGGGTCTTATTGCAAACATTTCCTTTTAGAAAACATGATGGATTATATGGTTTATCTGTGTTCTTCCCAAGGAATACCTGTGTGTGTGTGTGTGTGTGTGTGTGTGTGTGTGTGTGTGTGCACGCGTGCAAATGCACACATAGGGGTAGAGGGAATACAGAAAATGGATAAAACTCAAAGGTTCAAACACATTCTAGAAGTTGAAGTAAGAGTGTATGACTCAAATTTAGCACAGAAAAGCCATTCTCTGAGATTTTTAAAAAGGGGTGTGTGTGTGCACACATTCCTATCACACATGCCAGTCAGAGCATATGAGATAGTTAAGAATTCTCAAAATTCTTATTAGATCATTGATCACGATTAAAGTAGGTATTATTTTAAAACAACCATTTTTCCAAAAAATGATACCACTGTCTTAACTCTCAATTAATACTCACTGTATTCCAGCTTCTTTCTCTTCTTTTTCTCTTTCAATTGTTCTTCCTCCTCCCTGACTCCTTCTTCTTCCTCCCTTGTCTCCTCTCCTAGAGTATCATAAAATACTGGATCTCGATGGGCAGACTTCCTCTGAAAATGCTTTGTTTTGGATCCCCCTTTGACAAGCACAACTTTTCTTTTCAAACACGTGCAACCAAACATGCAGTCTGGTCGGCGGCAGTGAGTAGGTTGGCGCTTCTCCAAAGCTAGACTGGAGCATACACAACCCAGTCGACAGAAGTCATTGTTGCAAGGAGGAGCTCGTTTCCTTATGATTGTGTGGATAGGTTTAGTTTTGAGAGATGCCTAAAATGAGAGTAGAAAATTGTAATTCTACTAAACCATCCCCATGTAACAGCAGCAACTTACAGTCATATACGGTCTGCCTTCTTCTCTTGAGTATAACAGCATAAGACTAACACAGATTCAAAGGACAGAACATGAATATAACCAAAGTTCTGAGCAATCTCCCATTCTAATGCATAGCACAGACAAGAGAATATTCTCATTAATTATCAGCAAATTTAACAAGGAGGGATTTATTCTCTAATAGATATTGCACATAATGTTCTAATGCAGATGTTGACAAACATAAGATGAATGGGCAAAATCCAGCCAGTTTCATAACTGGAACCCAGCCAGGTTCATTCACGTACATATTGTGTGTGGCACAACAGCAGATTTGAGTTACTGCAACAGAGACTGTATGGTCTGCAAAGCCTAAAATATTTACTATCTGGCCCTTTACAGGAAAAGTTTTCTGGACCCTGGTCTAGGGTAGTTACAACCTGCATTTAGTCCCAACATCTGATGATCTTCAGCTCCAGAATTCAGTCACAGAACTTAAAAATGGAAAGTAAAGTATAGAAATTTCTGACAAAAAAATTATTAGCGTGTTGTTGTGTCATTTCACATGCACGAGAGGCTGCTAGATAGGTGCATCGACAATAAATGAAAAATTCTTAATAGAAAATTTACAAAAGATAAAAGTTTTTCCTCCATATATTAATTTTCTGGATTTTTTGGGATTTAGTACCTTTTAACCAGAATCATCAAAGTTGTTTTAATCAGATCAGCAAATGTACTTCCCCAACATGCTGGAGAAGGAAATTAGACATTTTCAGAATGGCCAGCTGCCTTTATGCAAGAGAGGGATATTATTCAAAAGTGCAATTGTACTATCTCCCTCTGCTGGCAAGAGAGATCTACACTGGAGTGTCTAGTTAGTAAAGAAGAACAAATGGAGAAGACAGCTCCTTAGTTGTCACCAAGGTAACTAAGTGTTGAAAACTAGCTAATCATCCTGCCAAAAAGCCCCATTTGCATTTCCCCTCACTAACTTCACTCTTTCAAGCCAAGCACTATATGCTTCTGGAAAACAGCAGATACTTACTTGGGCCGTAAGCAGAGTTGTTAAGGATACATCTGCTCGTTCTTCAGTGATATAGGTCCTTGGTTTTCCTTCCCAAAGTGCACAGTCTTCCAGGTCCATTAGTTTCACTTGAGATTTAGACAAGCCCGGAGGGCGAGTTCCTTGTTGCTGTTGCTGTTGTTGCTGTTGTGCCTGACGCAAACTAATCTGCTTTGGAAATACATTTTCATCTAAAGTTGGCACAACAAAGTTATTCACCTGATTTTCTGAGACAGTGCTTGAAAAATTCTTGGTAACCTTATCTCCTAGAATCATATGAGAGTGTTTTTGCTTTGGTGAAATGGAGTATGGTAAAATGGATTTATAAGATGATTTAGTTCGGCCACTGAAAGTTGCCTGTTTGTTTTGAGACTTTGCCTTTCGAGAGGCAGCAGGTACAGAATGAGGCTTCAAAGAGTAAGAGGTAGAAGGGGAAATGATAGATTGTTTCTTTAGTACACTATCAAGTGTTCGTACATAGCTGGTACTCTTGGTGGGAAGCTGGTATACCACAGGAGATGTGGGAGCATTGGCAGAGAAACCCATGCTTGTTTCCATCAGCTTGCCTTCGTTTTCCAAGTATTCATCTAGCTTATCACTACAGAAAGCAGAACGGTTTTTCAGTGAACTTTCTGAATTTCCACCTGGAAATAAGACACAAGATACTTAAAGAAATCTAGGGCAGATCTTTAGAAAAACACACTTTAAAAAAGGCCAGAAGTATTGAGCTACAAGCTGCTGAATCTTTTACATTATCCCTCCTCAGAAAGAAGTAAAAATAGAAAATGAAGTGAAGAGATTGAGTCTCAGACACTAATTACATTAAAATACATTCTCTCGTCTCAAACACCAACTACATTAAAATCCATTCTCAAAAATTATCTTACGCTAAAATTATCAAAATGCATAATTTGTTGAGCACAAATTTTTGCCAAGTGCTAACAACAGTAATTAACCTAAGAGTCTTCAACCTTTGACAACTTTTGACCTAACTGTTTAGACCAGGGGTAAGTAAAAACGTAACAGCAAAAAACAGAATTAAATCAAAGCAGACCTCAACAGAATGCCAAAACATTATTTAAGTGATCGGAGTAGGTCGAGTCTGATAAAAACGCTAGGGAAGAAGGATGGCCACAAAAAAGGAGTATAATATTTAGTTTTTAAGGAATAAAAACATTAAGTTCAGCAGAGAGACGTGTACTACACTGTTACAACAATGAACAAAGATTCAAAGGTGAGAAAAACAATTTTGGACAAATGGTAAATTTACCCGGTTAAAATATAAACTGCAAACAAGTGCAAGGAAAAATGAAAAGCGCTAGAAAGGAGACCAACAGGCACACAAATGCCTAGATTAGAAGTCTACTTTGAAGTATACAGTTCTAAAATAATGTTTGAGAATGATGCTTTTTGTAACTGTAGGAATAAGAGAAATACAGCTAAAAAGGCTGCAGGGATTATTTAAGCCTGACACAATTAAGGACTAAACCCCAGGGTCACGGCTATAGGAAAATCGGTTAACAGATAAAAATCGGCAAGACAATTATTTTCAGTGCATTTTAAAGCATGGAGAGAAGGAATAAAGAAAAACAACCAAGCCTTACTTTTAACAAAAAGTATTGGCTGTATGTTTCAAACCACATTTGGAATTAAAAAAAAACAAAAAACAAAAAACACTGATTACCTTCATTCCTAGATGCAGAAGCACTATGAAACTTTCCCCTCCATCCCTTGATCTTGGTGAAGTCATTGGTTTTCCCTGTCCTAGAAACAAAGGGAAATCCAGCATCTATAAAAGAAAAAATAAAAGAGATGACCAAAATTCTAGCAAGTCAATATTATAGATCTATTTAATTAATAAGACCTTATCTAAAATATATAAATCACTTATTAATACCATGCCAACAGATAAAAGAGCTACCTTAGAATATCCTGTATGTCTCCAATAAAGGTAGCTTTTTATTCATATCACAAATAACCTAAACTTTAAGTAAAAAAAAATAGTATTTCACTTTACATAAGCTACACACTCACCAGGAGAGGCAGGGTTGGTTCCTGTAAGGTTCCAAAAAGGAAAGCTAGTAGCTGGAGCCAAAGGTAGCTGTACTCCCAAGTATTTAAGATCAATGCTCATTGTTGGATCCACTGAATTCAATTTTAAGCCCACTATAAGAAAAAAGGATCATAAATCATATTATCTCCCTTTTTTCTTTTTTAAACCTTTTGGTGAAGGGGAGTCAATAAAGAAGACAGTGAAGAGCAAAAATGATGAAATAAAAATAAACAGTAGCAGAGTCACTTTATAAGGTGGTCCCATGATCCACACCTTTTGGTATTACATTTGTGTAACCCCCTCCTTGACTGTGGGCAGGGCCTGTGGTTTGTTTCCAACCAATGGAATGTAGGAAACAGAACAGGGTGTACATGATTATTATGTATGTGATAACATAAGAATATAGCACCCATCTTGTGAGAGCTGCAAGGAAATAAATTTTGCTAACAAGCTGAGGAAAACTCAAGTCTCTAATGAGAAAGTAGGCTTGGTCAACATCTTGATTGTAGCCTTGTGAAACCCTAAGCAGAGGAACCAGCTAAGCCATACCCAGATTGCTCATATACAGAAACTGTGATAGGGTAAATATATTGTTTTAAATTGCTAAGTGTATAGTAACTTTGTAAACAATAGATAACTAATACATAAAGAGCACAATTCTGATCTTTTGTGCTTTAACTCTTTGTGGTCGTTTTCTAGGGTCTCTAATACAAACTTGCCACAAACTGAGCACCTGGCCTTGTAGTGGCTACTGACTCTCTAGTTATTATTAGTGACACTTATGGTTACGTGAGCCTATCAATATAATGACTTCTTCACTTACAGGGTAAGAGGAAATCTTTTGGAAAAGTATTTAACTTAAATTTCAACAAAATTGAAGCCAAAAGGAGTTCAAAGTACTAAGTATCATAGTAAAACCATTAAGTCACAGGTATAGGTTTCCAATAAAAAGCTCACAGAGTGCTAGTTCCCTAAAAGTGAAGACATTAGGTAGGTTATGAGGCACAAATTCTTACAGCTAATTTGTGTATCTTCCACATAGAATTTATCTGAACAAAAGATGGCAACCTGGGTACTGTGGCACCCACCTATAGTTCTAGCTACTCAGGAGACTAAGACAAAAGAATCATTTAAGCCCAGGAGTTCAAAGCCAAGCTAGGCAAAATAGCGAGACTCTTGTCTTTAAAAATAAATAAATAAATTAAATTAAATTAAAATGGCTGGGCCTGGTAGCTCATGTCTATAATCCTAGCATTTTGGAAGGCCAAGGAAGGAGAATCACTTGAGGTCAGGAGTTTGACACCAGCCTGGGCAACATAGTAAGACTCCATATCTACAAAAAAATTAAGAAAAATTAGCCAGCAGGCATGCTGGCAGAAGCCTGTAGTCCCAGCTATTTGGGAGGCTAAGGTGGGAGGATCGCTTGAGCCCAAGAGTTTTAGGTTGCAGTGAACTCTGATGACACCATCATAGCAATGGGCAACAAAGTGAGGAAGTGAAACCCTGTCACAGAAAAAAAAAAAAAAGGTGGTTATTCTGTTTTAGTTTGCAATTCTAGTTCTTTAAAACATACATTTTTATTGTTTTATGAGTCAAAACAACTGGTGTCTAATCTCATCTTTACTATTTCTTAATTGTATGACTTGAGCTAAACTTTCTAATTTTAGTTTCCTCAACAATAAAATGAACACCAATCCACCACAGTGGGTTGTATGCTTTGAGAACTTATTGCACTTTCTCTGTAATGCAGATGGTCTTGGAGAGATAAAAGACATTTCCCAGACTTCAAGGAATATTAGTGTTACATATTCTCAATTGACTTTTAGAAGTTACAATAGGGTAAATAAGTCCTATAAGAGATAAATAAAAAGAAACAGACCTGAAAAGCCCAAGGCAACCTGGTAAAACTACTGAAAGTGTAGTTATAAGTTAGAATAAGCAGGAATTACCTAGGAAAGGTGAAGAGGGGGATCAGAGGGTAGAACCAGAAAACAAAAAGCTACTGCAGAAATTCAAGTGAGAAATGAATCCTAAACAAAGGATCAAATGAGATACTATAGTACTTAAAGAGAAGAAAAATATTATTTATTATTAATGACAAAAACTGCCAGAATAGCTGCCTACAGAGAAAATAGAAAGAATAAAGTCATTAAAAATGTACCCATACTAGCAAGTAGGTAGACATATAAAAAAATCTAGACTTATACAATCAAATTTAGAGACTGTGTTTCCTACATATTTATCTGTATTTACTTGTATATTCTGAACTTCCCCCCAAAAAGTGATACCAAATCCTAAAAACTAACAAAAAAACCAAATTTATTTTTCACATACACATTTTCTTAAAAGCCCTATAAAGTAGGAAGGTCAATAGTACATAAACCTTGTTCAAAGTAATTTCCAGTTTAGCTTATCTAGACTATCCTGAAATGTTTGCCCTGCAAGAAAATCCTTCCCCAACTAACAGATATATAAGACATGGACTTAGCTGATTTCATATGAATGAGCATAAATAACTTTAGCTTGCAGAAAATGAGAGCTGAACAATTTATAGAAAGCATATTGTGAAAAAGCCTAAAATCTTTTCTACATAAGACAGTTTAAACTAAATTATACTCCTAAATGCTTTTGCCTCATTTAACCACATTAGAAGCTCCTTTTTTTTTTTTTTTGGGCCAGAGTCTTGGTCTGTCATCCCAGCTGAAGTGCAGTGGCCTCATCATAGCTCACTGCGACCTCCAACTCCTGACCTCAGGAGATCCCCCCACCTCGGCCTCCCGACTGCTAGGATTACAGGCGTGAGCCACCACGCCCAGCCTAGAAGCTACTTTTTACACCATTACAAAAAAGATTCATAAAGATAGAACTAAAAAAGAGAGGCTTTAGATTCATGCAAAGGCAGATTCACTTAATGTAATGTAGTATGGCAAAAAAATGCTTTCTAGTTAAATCCACTGAAATACAAAGAATCCACAAAAATATACTCAAGATGTTTATAGTTATGTAAACACCTATGTAACTAGTAAACATAGACCGGAAAAGCATATGCTATAAGGAAAATTCCAGCTAATCACTGACTTAATACCACATTCAGAATGTAATCAAAAAGGAAAAGGCAGAGAGTTATTGAAGGATTGTCGTTCTTTGGAGCCAGGCATGGTGGCTCACACCTGTAATCCTAGCACTCTGGGAGGCTGAGGTGGGATCCTGCCTCGCTTGAGCTCAGGAGTTCGAAATCAGCCTGAGCAAGAGCGAGACACCATCTCTACTTAAAACAGAAAAAATTAGCCAGTGTGGTGGTGTGCGCCTGTAGCTACTCCAGAGGCTGAGGCAGGAGGATCACTTGAGCCCAGGAGTTTGAGGTTGCTGTGAGCTAGGCTGATGCCACAGTGCTCTAGCCTGGGCAAGAGAGCGCGACTGTCTCAAAAAAATACGTTAAAAAAAATAATAAAAATTTAAAAAATAAATGAAAAAAATTAGCTGGGCATGGTGGTGTGTGCCTGTATAGTCCCAGCTACTGGGGAGGCTGAGGTAGAAAGGTCGCTTAAGCCCAGGAGTTTGAGGTTGCAGTGAGATATGATGACACCACTGCACTCTACCCAAGGCAAGAGCGAGACTGTCTCAAAAAAAAAAAAAAAACAAAACACCACAAAGAGAACACCAAGGAAAGGAGAAACATCTAGAGACTATAGAGACTATTACCTTCTTGGAGACCAGGATGTATCACCTGCTTGTGCCTCAAGGACTTCAAATCTTCTATCAATTCCTTTTCCAACTGGGAAATTCTTGCTCTGCAGCCTACTCACAAAACAAACGATGATTAAAATAAACTGTTGTACACTACAGAAGTATGAACACTGCATTTCACTAACAGAGCCCAAGCCACAAATACATCTCGTTTTATACTGTTTTATAATACCTGGGTCATTTGTGGTTGATGCCTGAAGACTAGACGGTTCTTCTGTTGTCCCATCGACTGCATGAATATCTAGAGCTTCCTACATATATTAAAAAAAAAAAAAAAAAGTTCATATCACATTAAAAGTAAAACAGGATTTAAAAAGAAAAATTAACAACCAGGAGGAAAATACGCCATGTTTACAATGATAACTCTAAATTAACAGAACTCATGAGCAATTTTTTCATACTTTTTGATATTTTCTAAATGTTCTACATTAATAATCAGAACGAAAAAAGCAAAAAGAAAATCTAAATATAGTATCATACTCAGGTAACTGACCTCAAACTGTATTTATGCCAATTTGCACGCTGATATCTCAGAACCTATAGAAAGACAGCTTACTCCAACCAACAAAGAGAGGAAAATAAGTAGAAAGGATTAAACGTCCAACACCTGTGTAACCAACTATGAAAGACTAGTCTTCTAAAAAAATCTAAAAGAAAAATAATCTGGTTGAAGAGTTGGGAGTAGAATAAACACATTATCAATGTGTAAAGCAGACTATTAATATTTGGTTCTCCAATGGTACTATACTACTAGCAATGAAAACAAAGTGGAAGACGGCATGCACAAGGTGAAAAGGATGGAGTATGCCTAAAGTTAGTAAACTAGTCATGTATTTTTACACTTTTTTAAAGTCCATAATCATGAAAATTCCAATAAGACCCAAAGATTAAAAAAAATCCAGCTAAACGGTGCAAAACTTAACTGAGATTTAGTAGACATAATTTTTAAAGTCTATTCAAATGAAATATCTTAAGTGATACATATTAACTAAACCAAACATTCTGCAGACACACACACACACACACACACACTCACACACACACACACAACACATACACTCTCTCACAAATAGAAGCATTCACAAAACTAGATTCTGATTCAGTTTCCAGTCAGTATACAACTCAAGAATACTAATTAGCCTTAGAGAGAATGCTGGAAATTACAATCTTACCTTCGATTCAAAGGAAACAAAGAGAACACCATCTACATCTTCCAGATCAGGCTTCACATCTGGAAAGGTACTCCCAGGGCCTACAGGGGTGTTCTTTGTAGCAGTTAAAGATTTTCCTGTGTTTTTAGGTGGTCTCCCTGCCTTAGAGAGTTTCAATTTCCGTGGCCTTCCTCTTTTTCCAGAGACATTTGGAGGGGCATTCTGATTAACACTCACAGCCTTTGGTGCTGCTGCGATCTTTAGCATAGTTGTTCTCTTTCTGCCCAAGTCTTCTTTTTCGGAAAGTGAGTCCCCAGTTGAATCCTTTGAACTGTCAAGTATTCTTTCAGTGCTAATGCTGTCCGATATATCAGGATATTTCCATTGAGGCTCTTTAAGGAAGGGATATTTTTGTACCACTCTGAGATCTGGTGAATGTCTTCTAAGACCATTTTCTGATTCCTTGCCTAAGCAGAAGCCAGTCCCACTGGAATTTTCAATGTACGTAGGCAAATATTCTAATTCTGTCAACATAGATTTATCCTTTCGAGATGCAGAAAGCATGTTATCAGGCAGCTCAGAAATCTTCACTGTGCTTTTGGTGACAGCACAAGGCTCCAGATAGACTACTGGCATCTTTCCACTGTCTAATTTGAACATCTTCGCTTTAGCAACACCTGATGGGCTGCTTGGTAGCCAATTAGGAGACAGATGATCAGCTTCTAGGTTATCAACTTTATTGTGCCTCTTTAGCTGTTTCTCTAGTATGGGATCATCATCGCTGTTTGAGTATACATCCGTCTCTTCATCTGTCTCTTCCTGTTTCACAGTGATCCCTTCTGGGCACTCACCAACTTCATAGTCATAATCATCCAGAGGTTCCTCTTTAATGACAACATTGAAGCTTCCATTTGGGTCTAATGGTGAGTCTATACAGGAGCCATCTTCAAAATTGTTAGCAACAAGACTGGAGAGACAGGGAAGGAGGGATAAAAAATATAAAACTATCCATAAACAAGATTCGAAGAGAAAAAAAAAAAAAAGATTTTTAGAAACTATAGCCAGGCACAGTGGCTCACACCTGTAATCCTAGCACTCTGGGAGGCCAAGGCGAGAGGATCACTTAAGCTCAGGAGTTCGAGACCAGCCTGAGCAAGAGCGAGACTCCATCTCTACAAAAAGTAGAAAAAGTTAGGCAGGCATGATGGCACAAGCCTATAGTCCCAGCTACTCAGGCAGGAGGATTGCTTGAGTTTGAGGTTGCAGTGAGCTATAATGAAGCCACTATATATTCTAGCCAGGGTGACAGAGTGAGACTCTGTCTTGAAAAAAAGAAAAAGAAAAGAAAAAAAAAAGAAACCAAGTAAGTAACACATCAGATTTCATGAGCCATTCCTCAAAAGCACTTGTATTTATAACCTAAGAAGATTCTCAAAAGCAGTTAGTTTATCAACACTTTTTTCTTTTTTTTGAGACAGAGTTTCACTGTGTTGCCTGGGCTAGAGTGCCATGGCGTCAGCCTAGCTCACAGCAACCTCAAACTCCTGGGCTCAAGCGATCTCCTGCCTCAGCCTCCCGAGTATCTGGGACTACAGGCATGCGCCACCATGCCCGGCTCATTTTTTTATATATGTATTTTTAGTTGTCCAGATAATTTCCTTCTATTTTTACTAGAGACGAGGTCTCACTCTTGCTCAGGCTGGTCTCAAACTCCTGAGCTCAAGCAATCCTCCCACCTCGGCCTCCCAGAGTGCTAGGATTACAGGCGTGAGCCACCACGCCCGACATCAACATAACATTTTTATATTTTGTCAAATTTTCACAAAAAAATATACAAAATATCATTAAATCAAAATGCAGGATATGTTATAAAATTATTTATTTTAGGCATTTTTTCAGTGAACTCACAATTTTGAAAGTCAGCTAGCACTGACCCAAAATCAAACTCTGAAAATCCATACACTGATTAACAACCCAGTAAAGCAAACATACTTCCATCACAACTAAGAATTGCAATAAACAGGAAAAGGCTTTAAAACTGCCAGCTCATTTTTTCCTTTGTGTTTGAGATAAAATTCATGTAACATAAAGCCTAACATCTTAACCAATTTAAAGTACACAATTCAGTGATTTTTTTTTTTTTTTTTTTTTTGAGACAGAGTCTCACTCTCTTGCCTGGGGCGAGTGCTGTGGCATCAGCCTAGCTCACAGCAACCTCAAACTCCTAGGCTCAAGCAATCCTACTGTCTCAGCCTCCCAAGTAGCTAGGACCACAGGCACGCGCCACCATGCCGGGCTAATTTTTTTTCTACATATATTTTTAGCTGTCCAATTAATTTCTTTCCATTTTTTGGTACAGACAGGGTCTCGCTCTTGCTCAGGCTGGTCTCGAACTCCTGAGCTCAGAATGATCCGCCCGCCTCGGCCTCCCAGAGTGCTAGGATTACAGGCGTGAGCCACCGCGCCCGGCCCACAATTCAGTGATTTTTAGTATATTCACGATATTGTTGCCTGACAATTTTTTAACTTTAAAACTGAAAAACTCACTCCAAATGTAAAGAATCCACCATTAATTCTTCCAAAATAAAAGGGTATGGCAGCTGAAGGCAGTTGACCCACATATATTGTGTATAATTCATTAAAAAAAAAACACTATACACATCTAGCTTTCCCCTCTCCCTAATTAGCCATTGAAACCATAAAAATGGTACCAATGTACCTTGAGGATATGGTAGGACTAAAAGAATTAGGTTAATTATCTAAGATTCTACATAAAGTAGCACAGCTGGAATTAGAATTCTTAGAAATTCCAAAACTTTTAATCTCTGCACCTCTAATTTTTTCCCAAAATACATCCATGCAAGTCAGCATATTAACAACAAAGAAAAGCAGGACGAAAACGGCTTTGAGAAAAACTATACAAACCCACAACACATATTCACTAACAAATACTATACAACAAAGTAGGATTATACACTTTTTTTTTTCATTTCAAAGTCTATCACTGAAAATAGTATTTGTGCAACTGAAATATTTTGATCAGTCACTTTTTAAAAAGTTAAGTAGGTGAGTTTTCATTAGTAATGTGAAATAGCTCATAGCACACCAACCTTCCTCCATTTAAAACTAGAAAAGCTAGGCTTCAAAGTTTTTTTCTCTCAGAATATTTTTTTAAATCTATTTGAAGACATCAAAAAGTCAAGAAAGCAGTGATGACTTGGGGGGCCAGAACATAAACACGGACAATTTAATTAAATACCAAGTAAGTTAGGCACTGTTATTATACATCCACTACTTTTATTACTGAAGTTATCTTCCTAAAATATTGAACTACATTCATTTTACTTTCCTGTTCAAAAGCATTTCAAAGGTTTCTGAAACTAAAGAAAAAAGTATAAATATCCTGGGGTGCTTTTCAAAGTCCAGTATAATCTATCCTCAGCCCTTTCAGCCACATCTTTAACCTGTATTATATTCCATGATCCAACCACACATAAAACTTTATTTTCATGTCTCAGTCCAATAAAATACATTTCTAACACCAATCCAACATTAATGAAGCACCCATTTTTTTCCACTACTTGCTAGCCCAATTAAACTCACTGTCTTTATAAAACTTTATCTCAAATATGCACAAGCACCATTACATGAATTTAGTTACTTGTTCCTCCTCCAATTTACTTAAGATCTTAACCTTACTCAAAAATCCTTCAATGGAGGACTTTCAACTCCAGTTAGAATGGTGGAGAATCACAAAAGACCATCACTTCTGCCCTAACAATGAGAAAACACTAGATAAATTATTTTTAAAAGCCACTGAAAACCTCTAGACGTAAATAAGTCTAAATGAACTGAATTCCAGAGGGAACAGCCTTCTCTGGGTGACCAGAGATTGCTACTGCATTCAATCCTGCGCAGCATTTGGCACTGCCTGAAGATAAAGTGAGAAGAGAAAAAAGCAGCTATAGTCAGAGGATCTTTGCAGAAACACAGAGAAACCAGCCAAACTTTTAATGCCTGAGCATGGGTATACTAGAAGCTGGAGGAACCCAAACTTAAAATTAGTCTTCTTGCCAGGGAAGGGGGCTCATGCCTGTAATCCCAGCACTTTGAGAGGCCAAGGCAGGAGGACAGCTTGAGGCCAGGAGTGCAAGACCAGCCTGGGCAACATGGCAAGACCCTATGTCTTAAAAAAAAAAAAAAAATTTTTTTTTTTTAACTAGTCCTCCCTACCACCCAATTATGACTTCTGTAGAATAAGCAGTAGTACTACAGGAAGTTTGGCCTGAAAAGAGAGAACCTGTAGTCTCCCAGTGCTTAGGTTACAAGGTTGCCAGAAACAGGAGCCCAATCACACTTCTAACATAGCTGAAATCAGAGTGAGTTGAAATTTACTAAAGTGGTAATAAGCCACTTGAAATCACCTAGACTGAAGAACAGAGAAAAACAAAAAGTTTCAGAGACCTCTGGGACAACATCAAATGACCTAACGTACTAGGAACTGCACTTCCAAAGACAGGAGAAAGTAGAGAAATATTGAAGAGAGAATGAACAAAAATTTAACAAAAGTGAATAATTTTAACCCACAGATACAAGACATTCAGCAAACAATAATGAGGACAAATGCAAAAAAAGCAAGCCATACCTACGCACATCAAGGTAAGGCTGCAGCAAATTAAAAATCAACAGAAAAACCTTGAAAGTGGCAAAAGAAAAAAGACATATTACACGGTAGGAATAACAGTGAGAACAGACTGACTAGACTAACTCATTAGAAACTATGTAAGTCAGAACATAATAGACTTGACCCATCATAAAGTGGTAAAAGAAAAAAATTCCCAACCTATACCTACCAAAAGAAGCCTTTAAAATTGAAGACGTTTTCAGACAGCTGAGAGAATTCAGCCTGAACAAAAAATACTACCTTTTAAAATCAGAAATAAGACAAGGATATATCGGCTCTTGCCACTTCAACTCAATTGTACTAGAGAGTCTACCAGGATGATTAGGATAGAAAAAGAAATAAAAGGCAACCAGATAGTAAAGGAAGAAGCAAAATTATCTCTTCACAGATAACATGATCTTGTATATGAAAAATACTAAGGAATCCACTAAAAAACTATTAGAACTAATAAATGAGTTTGGCAAGACTGCAAGGTCCAAGAGCAACACACACATAAAAAAACTACTTCTACACACTAACAATAAATATTGAAAATTAAATTCAGCTGGGCATGATGGCTCACACCTGTAATCCTAGCACTCTGGGAGGCCGAGGCGGGCAGATTGTTTGAGCTCAGGAGTTCAAAACCAGCCTGAGCGAGAGCGAGACCCCGTCTCTACTAAAAATAGAAAGAAATTAATCGGACAACTAAAAAT